GAGAGAGAGAGAGAGGCCAATTCTCTTCAACCAACTGATTTGAACTGCTTCTTTGTTTGCAGGTGCTCTGGTACGCAGTGACGAACTACAGGACCTGGATCTTCGCTCTCATCTACGGCTACTCCATGGGTGTCGAGCTCACCACCGACAATGTCATAGCCGAGTACTTTTACGACCGCTTCGACCTCCAGCTCCGAACTGCCGGCCTGATTGCTGCTAGCTTCGGCATGGCCAACTTTATCGCACGCCCTGTGGGCGGCTTCTTGTCGGACTTTGGTGCCCGCCGCTGGGGCATGCGTGCCCGCCTCTGGAACCTGTGGATCCTCCAAACCATGGGAGGACTCTTCTGCTTGTGGCTCGGCCGCTCAAACTCCCTCTCCATGTCTGTCGTCGCGATGATTGCATTCTCTGTCTGTGCCCAGGCCGCCTGTGGTGCTATCTTCGGCATCATCCCCTTCGTTTCTCGGCGATCCCTTGGTATCATCTCGGGGCTCACAGGTGCTGGTGGAAACTTCGGGTCGGGCCTGACACAGCTGCTCTTCTTCACGAGCTCGAAGTATTCAACAGCCACGGGCCTCTCATTCATGGGGATCATGATCATGGCTTGCACCCTACCTGTGACCCTGGTGCACTTCCCACAATGGGGAAGCATGTTCCGGCCGCCATCGAAGAAGGCTACCGAAGAGCATTACTATTGCTCAGAGTGGAACGAGGAGGAGAGAGCCGAGGGCTGGCATGCCGGCAGCCTCAAGTTTGCAGAGAACAGCAGGTCGGAGAGGGGCTCGAGGGTCGCATCAGCGCCTACACCGTCCAACGCCACCCCTGATCACAACGGCGTCTAATGGCCCAGAAGTTGATCTTTCTTTCTTGCTCTCTGCACTCTTGATCTTACCAACTCCGCCTCCCACTCTCAGATCCTACTCTCTGTAATTCTCTTCTTCCCCTGTTTACTTCTCTCTCATCTGATCGTCTCTGTATTTCTCATTTCCCCTTCAGTTCTTCTCTATAATAAACGAACTCATCCTCTCTTGCCTTCATTCTCTATGAAACCCACCGAAATGAACCTTCCCACTTTTTTCTTATACATTTTAATCTGGTTTGAATATGCAATGAGCTATGAGGAATCTGTTGAGTATATATATCTCTGTCGTGCTGAAGAGACGGCTGACAAATGAAGTGGAATCTTCAGTTTCCCAACTTCAGGGTGGAGGTTATTTTGTAACGATGTAAGAGATTAGAACATCTTTGTGTCCTATATAATGGATTATTTATGGGTTCTATGACTTTTTCCAACCTTATCTATCCATCAAATGACACAAAAAAAAAAAAAAAAAAAAAAGAAAAAGGAAAAGAAAAAGTGATTTATATACGGACCCTAAAAATTTTTCTAAACTATGTTGATACACTTTTTGTTTTTTTCTTGATAATTAAGTGGGAAACACATGCCCCTACCCATTTTTTCATTTAGATTTAGGGTTCCATTTTTTCATGTAGATTTGGGATTAGTTTTTTTTTTTTAAAAAAAATATGTTGCTACACTTTGCAAATTAACATTGCACATTGACTGATTTGTATTGTGTACTGTGCACATTAGACATGAAATGTTCCACATATAAGCAGAAATTACAAAAAAGGTTGATCAATATATATATATATATATTTTAAATTACCCCTCTACTTAAGGATGGAATTTTCAGTTTGAATTTTTAATTATTTATTTGGCTTTTTGTTAGTAGAAAAATGCCCCATGATTTAGGGCAGTATCTTACTAACGTGAAAAATAAAAAAATTTAAATAAAATAAAATTCGGTTTGAGAAAGACCTCAAATCGAAGGGTAATTTTGGAAAAAATAAAAAAAGCTGGCTCTCTTTGCAATTACGGCTATAAATGGATCATTTTTTGAAAAACTTTTTAGAGCCTGTACGTAAATAGCGGGCAAGGATGAGGTTGGCCTTTTTGAGACTTTTCTATTCTTATTTTTGCCCTTGCCGGTAAAGTCTATGGAACAACACAACACAATACAAAACAACTGGAAAATTTAAGTGGTCAACAAGTCCAACCAGTGAATTGCTCAAATCACAAAAAAATTAGTGAACTTTCTAACCACCCAACACGTATTTATTTCTTTTATATTTTAAGTAGTTAAAAGGTAGGGGTTTGAACTACCTTACATTTGAACAATTGTTACAAGCGGGTTGGACCGCATTTCTACAAAGAGGCTTAAAGCATCCATGCAAATAGGTAGTCTATCTAAAAGCAATTGTAACCATCTAAATATTTTTTTAATATAATTATTATTTTTAATTTTAAAAATTTATTTATTTTATCATATTCAAGATTTCTATTTTTAAGATTATATATTCTCTAAAAATTAAGATCAAATTATATTTTAAAAATATATTTATGGTCAAGACCACATTTCTACTTGATGTGCTTGGCGGCATACAAACCACATCCTCTAAATTTATGTTTTGGCTTTCAAATAAGGGTGAGGTTTGTACAAAGTTGCCTCCTTATATACTGTGGTAGTAAGGCGCATCTCTACAATTTGTTTAGAGATGTCATTCCCACATCGAAAACATTATGATAGATTGAAACCCTATGTCCATCCTTACTTATAAAATTTAAAATTTTAAAATAACACATGTTGAACAGTTCAATAAACACTTGAAAGTCTTAAAAATAGACAGTCCAGATAACAAGATTCAATATTTTTTGAATTGGAGTTCTTTTTCTCTTTATGTTCATACATCTCAAGATCGAGATGATGAATTGGACGTTTCCCAACACTAGAACACCATGTTCTGTAGGACTTTTTTAGGTGCACCTTAATTCAATAATATAAGGTTTCAACCTTATGTAATCATTTTCCTTCAAATAGTATATTTAAAAAAATTTAGACCTTCAAATAAGCCAAAAACATAAGCCTTTTTGTACAATTCATAGTTCATGAGTTGAACTTTTTGAATTGCCCAAGTTGGAATTTTGAACGATTTAAATCTGTAAGTTGTTTTGTGTTTTCGATAGTTCGAGAGTTGGCCTTCTGTATTTAGGTTAAATTAAATTTTTTAAAAAAGATCTCAAAACAATATAGCCTAAATATGGACCATATAATAATACCACATACTTTTTACAATTTACACAAATTTCTCGAAAAAGAAAAAAGCATGTTGGCAAAGAGAATGGGCCTTCAAAATAACAGTTTCAAACTATCTACGATTTCGATAAAACGTGGTCTGAATTTTCCTTAATATTGTCTGACCTCCAAATTGGGAACTTTGATCCATTTTCAATCAATACCTATGCAAAATCCACAAAATCAGGTTCAATTGAGATAAGAATAATACGTTTTGCAGTCGCTTTGGATTTGTGATATTTTAGAATTCTGAAACTACTGAGTAGGCTTCCCAAAAGACTTGTGTCCCTATTTGTGTCATTGAGCCAATTATGGGATATAGACATGGTTTTTCTTCTAGGGTTCATGTTTTAATTAAGAATAACATTAGTGGTTATTTCCTGGTGATTTTTCTTTTGTTTCTTGCAGCGTATACGCCCGAGCGTATACCCCCGAGATGTGTGCACATGGGGATATTAAAAATTTCCTCACACTATCGTGCCCCAACCAAGTACTCAGCCGGAGTTGGGCCTAGTACAAAAGTATTAAAAAATTTAAAAATTAAAAAAATGCAAAAAATTCAAAAAAAATGGAAATATATATTTAAAGTAAGTTTAAACAAAGCACATCTAAATAAGGTTGCAAAAGTAGTAAAAAAATAGATTTTACAATATCAATTTCTTGTCGGGGGTATTTTAAAAACAATTTAAAAAGATGGGAAAATGTTAAAAAAATACTTTTGGCCAAAAAAACTTTCAAATCTTTGCCAAAAATAGATAGAACACATACATAAATATGTTACAAATAGGTTTCTATTTTTATACTTTTTTATTATTTTTTGAATTTATTTTTAAATCCTCAAGTTGGACATCCAATCTAAGGATACTCGGGCTCGGGCTCGTTAAGGTGACGAGCCCAATTTACTCGAGTGAGTCCGAGCTGACTCGCCTAAGCAGTCAACACTACACTCTCAAACCCGTTTTCATTCCCTCCGCTTTCCTCTCTTCCCCTTTCTCTAGCATCTCTCCCCCAAAATTCTCAAACCCGTTTTCATTCCCTCCGCTCCCCTCTCTCCCCCTCTCTCTAGCATCTCTCCCCCAAAATTCTTCAGCAATGCCCACCTTCTTCTTATCCTTTACTCATCCCAATATCTTGAAATCGGATTCATTGTGAAGTTCTTCAGTCATCTAGATATTTCTTGTCTTGTCATATTCTATTATAGCAAAAACAATAGTTGGTAAACCATAAACGATATCCACCGTCTTAAAAATTGATGGATCTGGCTGGAAAATCTTTAGGAAACCACATCCACGTCTTCTAGATTTGTCATAATTTACTCATCCAATTTTATTAATATTAGGGTCATTGTGAAGCACTTTGGATCCTATAAATATTTCTTTTTATTGATTCCTTTGACAACCCATTTCTCTATTATTCTTTTTTATTATCCTCACTTTAGATCTAGGTCAAGATGAGGTGGATCCCGATTTTTTGATCTGAGTATAAATAGTTTTTGCGCCCATCGCAGTCGAGCTAATTTTGTTTAAGAAATAGACCAAAATCAGCTGAAGGTCCCTTAATTCAGGCTGCTTTTGGTTCCTAGAATTCAGAAAAACATACAGGAAAAACAAGGAGAAGATCCAATCAAACTCCTATGGACAACATTGTTGGCCTCTATGCAACGTCCTAGCATCTATGCACAAAGCATATTATGTTGGTATTTGGGCAAAATTCTATATCATAATGCATGATATAGCATCGAACTAGTTTTGTCAGACTATAATATGAAGGAAAAAGTTTATATATGGTTGCAACCTGAAAATGTAGAATAAATATGCACCTCAAAAATCCATCGAAAAAGGTTATTGTAATGTTGAAATGCCCTCTAATTGATCATCTCAACATCGAGATGTATGAATATGAAAAGAAAAAAAAATTTGAGTCCCAGAAATAATGCATCTTGCAACATATTATCTACACCGTCCATTTTCAAGAATTTCATACTTTTATAGTTCTACTTGATTGTAACTATTTTTTTAGTTTAAAATTTTATTATTGGATATAAAAATATATTTTCCAATAATCTTAATAATATTTTATACCAAAATTACATGTTATGATAAAATTTGGAAACGCACCTTAATTGGATTGTTTAAAGTTGCAACCCTAATATGAATGCATAAGTGGACAATATTGTGGATGATCACGTCAACATGGCATCGAAACCCAAGGGTAAACATTGGGATCTCGTAGTTCCCAACGAACCGTTAAATGATAGAGAATGCAATGGTATCCAAGTGAGGTTGACAATATCATATACACTTGAATTTGCCTAAGTTGATAGAAAAGCAATAAAATTATCTCACATCAAGTTCAAATTTTGAGAATCGAAGAAGGATTGCCAAGGTGAAAACCATGAATATGGGACGCCACCATCCTACTGAACTGTAGTACGGACTATCAATAAGAAAGAAGAGAGAAAACCTGACTAGACGTGCTGAGATGGCCACCAAAGTTGCTAAAGTTTAATCTGCCAGGTGCTTCATTGTTGGGTGTATTTTTAGTTATCATATCCACACTCAATGAATTGAAGACATAATTATGAGGTAAGTGTTTAACCAATGCCATGTGAATGTCTTAATAGATAGTGAATAAGATATGAATCCCAATTGGTGCAACTTTTGAAGATATACCCTTGATGGGACATGAAGAATATGATATATCCAGGACTCATCATCTTAAGGCCCCAATATTCTTTAGAGCTTTGTTCATCAATCGACCCAAATATATCCTGACTTACAACCAATAATGATGAGAGCAGTCAAACCATTTCTATTCGAGACAAATTCTAGGATGTATATACATGCCTCTCATATGATAATTAGAGGAATTTGATGTGGTACAACTTACTTTCTAGTTTGACGTCGATTAAGTGTGTTCATCTTGACTAACGATTCATGATAGAAGATATCAAAACATATCAGTTCGAGACATATTCTAGGATACATATACTCCTAAGGCTGATATATGCCTCTCCACATGATACTGGAGCAATTTGATATGGAATGATGTACTTCCTAATCCATTGACGGTCACACTTGTGCAATTTTATTAACAATCAATCATAAAAGACAATCAAGCCGTCACA